GTGGGAGACGATGCCAGAACAGTGCTTCTGAGATGAGACAAGGAAACCCAGGCAGGGAAGGACTCTTCTTCACCACCAATCGAGCAATCAAAAGGGTTCCAACTCATGAATCGAACCACAGATCTCTGCCGGAATGAGTGCACACCATCGGAGAAAGAGGGATTTGACGGAACAACAAAGGGAGGTCAAGGTTGGAACGATTAGGGGGAAGACCAAATCACACTTCAACAAGCCCAGGAAACCGCCGGAGAGCCGGCCGGGAGGACCTAGAATTGAGGGCGGACGGCTGGTCAATGAGCAGAAGCAGATAAAGAACTGGGAGAAGAAGCCCTAAACGGAGAGGCGAACGAACTTCAGGCTAAACGGCACCGGCGCCGACCACCGGACTGAGGAGGTCTTGCTTTATATTTATTCACAGAACTGTTAGCATTAATCTTCTTTCTAAATATCCATTTCACTCTAATTACCTTTTGATGCAAAGGTCTTTCAACTAGCACCCATGTTTTATTTTTTTCAATCATATAAAACTCACCCTTGATTACAGCCATCAAATTTGGGTCTCTCTCAGCTTCCAATATCCAGACGGTTCAAGAACAACAATGTTGCATCTTTGGTAGATATCAACAAATGATCGGGTGCCACGTACACCAATTAACTCATCTGGATTCAGCTCATTAAGCTGCTGATTTTCTGCATTGTTGAAATCACATTTATCATTTTCCATGAAAGTTACATCCCGGCTTACAAGAATTTTTCCCGAGTCAAGCTGAAAAACTCTATAAACTTTAGATGTCAAACAATAACCAATTAATACTCCTGGCTTAGCTCTTTTGTCCAATTTGTCTCGCTGCATCTGTGGAACATGAGTAAAGCACAAACAACCGAATACTTTCAGATGTTTCAGTTGTGGCGTATAACCGTACCATACCTCAAAAAGATTTTTTCCATTTACAGCTTTTGTTGGTTCAGATTGAGAGAGAAAAATGTAGGATTTGTGAGAGCAGCAAAAGATGGTTCTCTTATGGACTCCAAAAGATTTAAAGTAAATTACATTGAAATAAAAAATAGAAGATAAATTCAACTTAGCTAAAAATCAGGAGACTAACAAATTCCAAAAGACTTGATAAAAGAGATCAAATTAAACTAAATAAATAAACAAAAATTATTGATAAGACTCTTGCTCATGCACACTTAGTCAAACATTTTTAATACATACGAGGTAGGCTACAACTTCGACTTTATTTTTTCAATATCTCTCAATGTCAGTGGCCACAATTACATGAATTATTCTTATCTTTGTAACCTACCTCCAGTCTTTTATGAAGAGATGTGATTTCATAAAAATCTATGGGATTGGTACTTCATTACATCATTTGACTGATAACTCAATTATAGAGTATGTCCTTGAGAGATTGGTTTGGCTTGATATATATATATATATTTCGGAATGATTTGATTGTATTTGGACTTTCCGTTTGATTTTAATCACTTTATTAATTGTTTAGACTTATTTTGGATCCATGCTTGAGGACAAGCAAGGCTCTGGTCTAGGGAAAATTGATATTTTACAGAATATGTATATTATTATTTTTTTTGTTTATACTTCAGGGCATTTAAGTTGTTTTGATATAAATTTTATTAAATTTGTGTATATTGCTACACTTCGCAAGGATATGAGACATTTGATAAATTTGGTAAAAACATTAAAATAATTGGAGAAAACATGGAAAGAAAGATCTCACTACAAAAAAATAATATATTTGTAAGGGAATTCCGTCCCTAAAGTTCACGTACCTAACGTAATTCCGTCTCTAATGTGATTAGTAACGAAAAAAAGTAGATTTCGAGACAAAAAAATTTTGTTACAAAAATGATTTTTTCTTGTAGTGTCTACATATCTTAATCATGACTACGACGAAGGAAATGACATGTGATGCACTAGAGCACGATTAAACTTAATTGCCCCACAATCAAGATGCTACGACTCTTGCTTCTACTCAACTTGCCTAAACAATTGTACTAAGATTAGTTGCTATCTTGCTACTAATATAACATATTCACTTACATAGAAATCTTTCAAAAGTTCGTTAGAAGATTTTAAGAATTACCTGCGCATATAAAATGTAACAAAACTCGCTTAAATACATTACGATAACCATAATTCACAAAATACTTTGTAATCAAACTCACGTGAAGGAAAATGAATATAGAAACTTGCTATTAAAATAGAGAAAACAATTGTTAAACTGCCAAAAATGAAGCTTACACAACAGATTAAGAACTGACCAGACCAGATGAATGCAAAGAGGCTTCGGCAAGTTACTGCAACTTAAAGTTGTTCTTGTTATGGAAAAAATAAAAAGGAGACATGATCAACCTAACATACCCAATAAAAAGAACTAATGCCAACAAAATAGGAATAAACTCTTGAAACTAAAACAATACCAAATCAAACAAAATAGAGAATAAAGAAACAGAGGATAAATATTAAAAATAACTTTTTATGTGGTGTTGCTTCTTATAAAAAGAATATATACATTTAAACTCATGAAAAATCACAAAATTGTATATTAAACTTAACATACAGAGCAAATTATTATCAAGAAATTATACCAAATTTTGTGTTAAACAAATTAATATAGTAACAGAAGTTCTCTCATCCGGATTATAAATTGTCCGAGGTATTTTTGTGTTTGGTATAACCCATTGTAATAGAGATATGGGGTTTTGTATAAAAGTTTTCAAGACAGATTTAAGTCACATAATTTTATCGATAAGGAAATGCAATTATCATTTTGTATTAAAATAAGCCAGGGTATAATGAAATTGACCATGAATATATATATATATATTTAATTTACTACTTTGTGCTTTGGAAAAACTTGCTTTCACAAATAAAATTCTAGATACTTATGTTAAATTGAAGATTGCAGTATGATTGTCAGATGATCAAAATATTGAATTTACTATTTAAGATTGTAAAATGTTTATTCCATTGGTTTAAAAATAATTTAAATAATCTTGTGTAAAATAAATTGATTGAATAAAAAATATATAAATAAAACTTGCTGCTATACATTATAAATATAACAATATATATTTGATTATTTCCTATGTAACAATAATTACTCGATGAAAAAAAAAATATATGTTGACATCATTTCTTTATTTTTGGATCAATCATCCTGATTGATTTGCTTATGATATTAGCTATTGATCGAATTCATTGTTATGACTTATTGAGTATAGTAGATCTTGAGAGATCAACACCAAATTCGACATAAATATTCTCTCGCTCTGTCCGTACCAATAAAATTGTATAACATAATAAATGCTAGAAAAACGGCAAAATAATATGGATCAAAATTTATTATGACAAAGATATTCTACATATCTTGACTTCTATTAGCAATCAAGAAGAATAACTTGTTTTTATCTATGATTTAATATTTTTTCTTTATTTTAGTATTACAAACACCCCTGCATGATATCGATCATAATTTATTGAGACAAAGATGGCTGAAAATCTTGACTTTTGTATACATAATGTTACATAAAACTTTTGTTTACTCACAACTTAAAATTAATTTTCTTTTTTTTTTTTATGTTGATACAATGAAATTAACGATTACATATAATATTTTAACCAAAAATAAGGTTCATATAAGGCCTATATAGATTAAAAAATTATAAATAGTTTTTAAAAACCTAAAAAATAGTTTACAAATTCGATAAACTAATATTAAATATATAAATAACTTATATAATGAAGTAATATGACTAGATAAAAATATATTCAATATGGCAAAATTAGAAAAAATATCCGGTAAGTATACTCAATTATCACTATTATTTTTTCATTGTCACCGTACCAAAATATATCATCAGTTTTACTATTTCAGTATATTGACCATGCATGAATTTCTATCCTTGTCCCAGTTTCCACTTCTACTGCATTTCATGGACTTTCTAGTAAAATATATTCTCGTAACGTCACACTCTAGCAAAATATATCATCTAGGAAAATATATTATCAACAGGTATAAATTTCCTTAAAAATAGCATATAAATATTTTATATTATCCAATATTGTGTCATGTATCATTCAATGGTAGGGGTGGATTTGGCAAGCTGCCAAACTCATCCGCTGTCAATATACTGAAACAGAAAATTGTGACGCATCAATTATATGTTTTGTTAGAGTAACAATTAAAATATATAAGTAATAGGCGTATACATGATATTTTTTGCAATTTTTCTGTTTAATAGATTATGTCATTCTAATCCTATCCTTAATTTCATTATACCAGAAAAGAATTACCACACTATTCAAACTAATAGTCCATTTTCAATAATTTAAAGAGAAATCCAAGTAAATATTAAGAGATAACAATAAAATCTTCTGTAAAGGCATTACAATTAATTTCTCACAATTGTTTTTTAAAAAAATATTTAAGAAAGTTTAGGTCAGAATTAGTCTTCAATTGCAGCTGATTTCAAGTATTTAAAAATAATTTTATTTATTTTAAAAAGATTAATCTAATTAAACCAAATATGATGTCACTTCCATACTCATTTCCAAGTGAAAATCCTCAACTTATAATCTAATACATACATAGATTTCAATACAAATGCATAGCAACAATGAACATATAGAATTTCAATTGCTAATTAACTTGCTTATAATAATAATAATAATAATAATAATAATAATAATAATAATAATAATGATGATGATAATTTAGTTTAGTGAGGTAATATAATTCTGAACATATAATTACAGTATTATCTTTTTTTATTAATTTGACAGGTAGAAGGGGATAGGTGAGAAATGTTACTTTATTGATAGTATTTACTGAGTTTCTATTTTTTATTATACAACCTATTATAAATATGACTCTTCAAAATCTATTATTCTTACAAATACAAAAGTTTAAGTTTTTTCTAACATCTCCTTTAGGAAGACTTTTAAAAAAACTGTCTCTACCACCCTTTTACCCATGGAGCATCCACCACCACCACCCCCAAATCCTCTGGCGCAAATGGGGGTCGCTGAACCCGAATACAATTGTCGTTATTGTGATAAAACATTCAGAAGCAAACAAGCATTGGGAGGGCACCAAAATGCCCATAAGCTGGAGAGAGCTATTGAAAGAAACCTTCAAGAAGCCAGTTTTGCTGGGGCTGGCCAACCATACCCTCCCGCATTGGCGCCTGCCTTGCCGATTTTTGGAGCTTATCACATACCCTTCCAGGGGCCACAGATCCATTTTCAACACCCTGGAATCCATTTTGGGTTCAATCCTCGCCAGGCATTGCAGCCGATTCCCCGAATGGCCGTACCATTTCCCCCTACAGTGCTGCTTCCGCCTCAGCCACGTCCACTGCTAGGATTTAATAATCCCTTTCCCGGGACAGCCCCTGTGCATAGGAATGCTATCCCTTTTATGGGATCGGATTCTTCTTTGGCTGCTGGAAATCAGGGTTTTGTGAACCCGCAGGCATTTGGCAGCGGATCCGGTGGCAGCAGGGCTCAGCAGGGTGGTGGGTTTGCCGCAGCAGCACCCAGGAATGATGTCGAGGATCACCCGGATGTTGACGAATCTGGCCTTGATTTATCACTGAAGTTGTGAATTGAGTTTTTTACTTTTTATTATTGTAAGAGCTAATACTTTGGATGATCTGATTGTTCCAATGATGTACCAATTATTTGTATTTTCAATGAAAAATGATTCATAAAAATTGTTGGATCTATTATTTTCTTTTTCCTTTTTTATTATTTTATTGTTTTACTCTCAGTTCTTTAACTTTAATTTGTTTTATAGTTGTTATTTTAATTTTTTTTAGCCTGTTCTTTTTAATTTTTTTCTTACAAATTTTGTTTATTTTTTTTCCTTCTGTTTTTTGTTTTTTGTTTTTTTTTTTTTTTTTTTTAGTTTTTTAAAATCTCACTTTCTCTTCTCTTGATTTTTTGTTCTATTTCATGAAGTCTTTGTGTGATTGAATCATTCAAGGATTTTTTGGGTTACTATATTCTACAAATCTCAACAATAGACACTTCATGGGTCGCCTCGTAGGACCTCTTGGAATATTTTGGTGTAGGGGTGGTTATGATATGAGCCTAACAAATTGTTCCATAAAATTACTGCTTTATTTTCTATTTTTCTTTAATTTCATGATTTTGATTCTTTTTATATTTTTATTGACTTTGTGATTGCAGATAACCCATCTATCCAATCGATCAAAATCAAATAATACCTTGAGTAAATACATATTGTATGTTTAATACTTACGTTGGAAAAAATTTAAAAAAAATAGTGGAACAATTAATATATAGATGCAATGTTGCAAATTGTATTTACCTAGCTAACACTTTTTGCACACATGTTCAACAGTTGTATATAACTCCTGAATGACAAGAAACATAGGTTGAACATCTCGTCATTATTCTTAAGTGCTAATTGAATAAAATCAAGATTCAATGATCCCAATAGCTTCATTTACAATTATGGTTATTGATGGACTTAATAGGTATGACTTTATGGAGTATTGTATATCTTGAGCCTTCAACACCTAATCCAGCATACTCACTAGGTATGCCAATAAGTTTTTAAAATGTTATGAATTCTAGCTGCCGTTCAAGATGATGCCTATTAAAAATTATTAGGACAAAGATATCCTACAATTCTCGATAATTGTATTAACATTCTCGAAGAGAAACTTCTTTTGAATTATTATTTAGTATGTTTTAAATTATTTTCTCTTAAAGTGAAACTAGCCATTTAATATAATATTTTAATTATCAAATAAGTTTTATATGAGTTATTTATATTTATAATTGATAATATTTAAACATTTCAAAAATGAGTATAAAATTTCAAATAAATTAATATTAAGAATAAAAATAAAATATTTTTTCATAACTACGTACTAAAGAACTTTCTAAAATGTATTGAATACAATAACTTGTTTAATCACATTTCTATTTTCATTATACAAGAAAAGAATTAAGACACGGTTAGAATTTATTAATTGTTTTTACACACTCAAAGAAAAATATAGTAATTAGTAAAAGATAACAACAATCTTTATAGTAAAGCCACAAAATTTATTACTCAACCAATTACTTATTACAATTAAAAAAGAGTAGTTGGTTAGTATATTTAATTTTCAGGTAATTTTTTAATAATAATAATAATAATAATAATAATAATAATAATAATAATTCTGTGTAATTAGATAATATTATTTTAGAAATATAATTTTTTTAAAAAATTATTTCATTAATTCAAAACTTTAGAATGGACAAGTGAGATAAGTATTCCATCCAAAAGTCATCTTTTCTATAAATATCAGAGTTTAGTCTTTATACACTACCTAAAAATCCCCAAAAACTATCCTTGCTGCTACCCTAAGTTTACCTATGGAACACCTACCAGCACCACCACCAGCACCTCAGAACCCTAACCCTTTTGAGCATGGGAGGGGCAACAACGAGGCTGAGGCCGAGGGTGATGAACGTGAATTTGCTTGTAATTATTGTGCAAAGAAGTTCAGGAGCAAGCAGGCCTTGGGAGGGCATCAAAATGCCCACAAACTCCAAAGGGCTATTGAGAAGAATGCTCGGAACTTTCGGCAAGCCTGTTTCGGCTACTTTTCCATGGCCGGGATACCATACAACACCGGGATGAGGCCAGTCATGCCACTCCTTGGGACTTACAACCCACCACACCAGGCACAACAAATTCATTCACAATATCCTGGAATCAATCTCACCTTTAATCCCCATCTAGCAATGCAGCTGGTCCCTAGCATGGTCCAACCATTCATTCCCCGGGTGACGCTGCCGCCTCCGCCACCACCCGGATACAATAATCTCTTTCCTGGGTCACGCACTGAGGGCAGAAGTGTTGTCCCTCTTTTAGGGCCGGGTTCTTCTTCTAGTACTCGAAATCATGTGTTTATGAACCCTCCGGCTTTTGCCAGTGGACCCAGCAGCGGCACAGGTGTGGGCGAGTTTTTCCTTGCTGCACTAGTTAATGATGGTGCAGATTGCCCAGAGATGAGCGATTGTGGCCTAGACTTGACTCTAAAATTATAAAATAAATGGTCTGATTGTTGTTTGTGTCATATTAATTATCTCCATGATGTGATAGTCCTGACTAAAGATTGAGTTATGCTTGACAATCAAGTTACATTGTAAGTATTATCTACATTGTTCAACTTTTTTGATTTGTCATGTGGAGTTTCAAAGGATTCACCATATAAATTGTTGATTTTTTTTATTATTATTTTTTTATGAATTTTTTCGAATTTTATATAATGTAACAATATTTTAATAAACATTACATTTAACACACATATATTTTTTAAAAAAATCAATTTAAAACTATTCACAAAAATTGTTGTTCTCTTTGTTCTTTATTTTTATTTATTTTCTGGTTCTTTAAGTTTGTGATAGCTCAATATTAGTATTTTAACATTTCATTGTAGGTGTTAACGAAAAATTGTGTTTACTTATGACTTACTATACAGAAACTAACGACTTCATATAATAATTAAACATAAAATATGGTTCATATGACATTTATATAGTTTCATTTATATATATATATATACATGTACTTTTTTAAAACCTAAAAATAAGTTTAGAAATTCAATTAACTAATATTAAATAAATAATTTAGATAATGATGAATTAAGAATGGCTAAAACTATATTTAATACATATGGTCATCGTAATCCTATCATTAATTTTATTATACCAAAAAAAAAATAATAATTACCCCACTGTTCAAAATACTTTATATTTACTTACCATATAATGTGTTTTAAATTAATGTTCTTAAAGTGAAACTAGCCATTTGATATAATATTTTAAGCAGAAAAGAATTTTTATATACAATGTTTATATATATATATATTCTTAATTTTTCAATATTGAAAAAAATAAGTTCAAAATTTCAAATAAACTAATATTAAAATGAAAATAAAAAATTATTATTATTTTCGATATTGATGTACAAAAACCCTTAGTAAGAATGCATTGAATACAATAAGTCATTATAATACCATATCTAATTTCATTATACCAGACATTACTTGCCTTAATACAACAATTAATTATTTGATTCCCAGACATTCAAAGAAAATTTCTGGTGACCACAATATTTATTTTAAAGCCATTGTCCATAATTAATTATTGAACCACTCATTTAAAACAATTAAGAAACATTAAGTAGGCAGCATTCCTTAAATCTCAACTAATTTTTAAAATTTAAAAATTATTTTTCCATATAGAAATGAAAAATAAAATTATAAATATTTTGATTACTCAAAAAATATATAACACAATTGAAAGTAACTTTGTTGCATATGTTTATGATGAACGAAAAACAGAAGTAGACAAGCAAACCTACTCTTGTATGATATTGAATCTTTCCTATTATTGAAAATGTAGGAACAGAAAATTGCAAATGATTATTGTATTTGTTGGAAATAATTTTCAATTTAAACTTAATTTTAAAAAAAGTATTGATGAAAGCTTCAAATTTTCTATATATATATTTTTTTTAACTTAGTACAAATATAAGGCAGATGGAGGATACAAATATTGATATTTATATTCCGATAGTCTTGTTAAATGATGTTTATATTTATAATGTTTTAGGGTAAAACAAATAGATTGAATGAAAAACAAAATGTGCTGCTACATATGATAAATGTAACAATATTTCAAGTTTTAGTGTCATAATAATTATTGAACGACGAGAAATATATTTTAACATCTTGTCGTTATTCTTGGATCAATTATCTTATTTGGTTTGCTCATGATATTTGCTTTTGGTGGTATTAATAATTATGACTTTATTGAGTATGTTAAATCTCGAGGGATCGACTCCTTGTCCAATATTCTTTCTCTCTCTCTCTCTCTCCGTACCAATAAAATTCTAAAATATCATAAATGCTACGAACAACCCGAAATGGTATCGATTAAAATTTACTATAGTGATATTCTAAAAATCTCAACTTTTATGAACAATCTAGATCAATACATAATTTTATTTATGATTTGATCCTTTTTTTTTTTTTTAATTTTAGCACCTCGACGATATGACATTAATAAGATTTTATTGCGACAAGGATATGGACTTTTCTTTTCACGATATATTATTCATTTTTTATACTTTCACTTACTCATACTTGCTTTCAATGTTTCATTGAGATTTTAATTGCAGGATAACTTGAATCCATTAAACAAATATACATTGACTAGCAAAATCTAGTTAGAAGGTTCCGAAAGAATTTCACACTACTAGATGGAACCAAGACCTATCGTGAAACTGACTTCTTGAGCTCAATTCGACTAACAATATGTGGTAAAAGGTAGGTGGTAAATTGATTTTTCAATCAACCAGTCGTGAAGGTCAAAAAGAATGACTCACTGAACACATAATAATGAATTCAGAAATGGATAATTAGCTCAATAATTGAATATTACTTTTATTTTTCCTAGATTGCCTTTAGGCTAGCAAAGCAATTTGAGATAGCATGTTAGTTGATCGGGATTGAACATTGAGTGTCATTTACACAACCACTTCATTGCATTTTACATATCATATATTATGCATATTGCATAGCGAGCGCATCAACCCGTTCATTACATGCCTTTTCACATTATATTCCTACTTTAGCCAGGTTTATTTCTCGCTCTCGTTCGCAGCAAACCATTGACTATTTCTAATTAAAGCAATATGTATTCATATTATCCCCTGAGTTCGACCTTGATACTCACCGGTTAAAGAATTTTTTTTTTTTTTTTAGATTTAACAGAGTTTATGAAGTTACTACATGCACACTCACATAGCACTTAATTTTCATATTATATCTATATTATTTTGCCAAAAATTGTCAAGCAAATTGTATGTTAATTTCTACTTCATAAAATATCTGAGTAATTTATTAGACAGAGGCACTTGTTTAGCAGGTCGCAGTGATATCCACTGACAATGGTTTTGCTTTCCCGTAATGTTTTTAGTTCTAAATTTTAGAATCCGTTTTAATCTCCAAGGTCAAGTACCAATAGAACCAACATATTTCTTTTAACCAAACAAAATATGATACCTTTTGCTCTTACATTCACATCATAGTTATAAGTATAATTCCTATAACACCTATCATCATACCATTCACGTTACACTACTTCTACCATCCTTGACAGCGGATCCGGTGGCAGCAGGGCTCGGCAGGGTGGTGGGTTTGCCGCAGCAGCACCCAGGAATTATGCCGAGGATCACCCGGATATTGACGAATCTGACCTTGACTTATCTCTGAAGTTGTGAATTGAGTTTTATAGTTTCCATTGTCCTAAGAGCTAATACCTTGGATGATCTGATTGTTCCAATTATTTTTGTTTTCAATGAAAAATGAGTTATAAAAATTGTTTGATCTATTCTTTTCTTCTTCTTCGTTAATTTTTTTCTTCTTTTATTACTTTTCTCCGAGTTCTTTAACTTTATTTGTTCTATATTTGATTTTTCTTTTATTTTGCTTTTTTAGACTGTTCTTTTCTTTCATTATATATATTTTCTTATTTGTTTGTATTTTGATTTTTTAAAATCTCACTCTTTTCCTCCGTAAGCATTACATCCAACATATACTTTCCTTACATATTTATTGGTTAGGATTCACATATATATATATATATATATGCTGTTGCCGTTGTTCAATTTCATTTATATATATCTATACATATTACTTTGTAATCCGACTGTTCTCACCCATAAACATCACATCCAACGCATAAATTTCATAAAAAGATCACCACACCATATAAATTATTTCAACTAAAGTATCACAAACTTAAAATAAGGATGCGTAAAAAATAAGGCATCCTTTACGAATTTATAGAAGTAATACTCCCTCTGTCCCCGATGAATATACCATATAGGATTTTGTAGTTGATTAAAAAATAATATTCACTCCGTCTGGTTCTAAGGTCTCATTTACCTTTAGCGTCATTATATAAAGCAGTTATAAAGTAGTTATTTGTAATTTAAGTAAAAGTTAAGAGAATTTGGATATTAATGTATAATTATATTTACTAAAATAGAAAATAGATATTATTGAGTGAGACAAACGAAAATGGTAAAAATGGTAATTTGAATCGAGAAGGGATCGAGTATAACAAATGAGAATAATCAAACATAAGCAAATACATTGAATTTTGAGATTGGAAATTGCACATCTCATAAAAAAGTAAGATGGTGTTTTCTTATCAGTTTTTTTTCTCAATTAACAACAATTTAAAAAAAAATGTTAAAGACCCTTGGATCTCACCAATGATTTCTGTAACAGGGTTAACAAAATAACATGACCCGCAATTCTCCCACATCAAACAAGAAGCATATATTCAATGTTAACGAACAAATAAATAAACAATCTTGGTAGAATCCTAGCAATATTGAGAAGTATTTATAAATAAACAATCTTGGTAGAATCCTAGCAATATTGAGAAGTATTTATAGGAAATCTCGTAGTAGATACATTTGGCTTTGTATTAGAAATGAATTTAAAATTATAATAAAAGAACCATTACCAAGTAGTGGTTACTTTTGATGTATTTGTATTTGAAATCTAATATAAATTTTAATTAGTTACTTATTATTAATAATGTATATAGAAAAATAAAAATATAAATACAAACTCGGGTCCAGTCTAGTCCTGACACTCCCGTGTACTACATTTAATTTGTTACTCCAGAATAGGTAAATTATTTGATTGACCATTCAACTATTAAATTTTTTATGCTATTTTCATGAGAAAATTGCGGAAAATATCCTTTATATATACTTTATTATCACTTTTGTCATGTATTTATCTCTTTGGAAAAATATATCCTACATGTTTGCAAAATCGTTATTTTTATCCTTTAGCCGCGCGTGACGTTTACACCACGTGCAGTCACGCGCGGCTATGCGCGGCCAAAGGATATCTATAACGACTTTTGCAAATATGTGGAATATATTTTGCTAACTGAGATAAATAAATAACAAAACTGATAATGGAGTATACATGAGAATATATTTTGCAATTTTTCCCTATTTTCATGGATCGGTATATGCTTTTTACTCTTCTTTTTGTTACTTTTGTAGTTTGTTTTCTTGTATCCCCTATTTATGCTTCGTTTTTCTTTCACATGTGAACTCATATTTGACCTTGAGATTGAAAGAGATATATGAAAGTTAAGAAAGCAAACGAAACAACAAGGAGTGGCTCAAGACATAGATTTGGCTAGTTCTACGAACTCCTTCAAAAACTCCATCCCAAGTAACTTTGAAAAATACCAAGAAACTATCATGACCGAGGATAACGTCATTTTAATGGAGTTCGCTGCTCCTAACTTGAACTAAAAAGCTTTATGCATCACTTTTCTAACTCTTAAAAACCTTTATTCCTTTACTGTCTTCTTTCCATGGACTTTAGGTGAAAACCACAGGAACACTTGCACAAGTTTAACGTAGTGTGATTCAACATGAAGTCACTGTGTGTTACATATAAGCAAATCATACTTTGAGACTTCTTATTTTCATCTAAAGACGTTACAAAGGATTGACTCTATTACTTCCCAGCATTAAGCATTGACATGTGAACTGACATGAAGAAAAATTTCTTGGATGTATCTCCTAGTTTGCAGAGCTCCAATTATGAGGAATGAGATATGTATTATTCTAAAACAATTAGGTGAAACACTCCATGAAAATTTAAAGTGATTTAATAGACTTATTATAAAATATCCACAGCATCAGATTCCTCATCCAATATTTATATAATTGTTTGCCATTGATTGGATGGCCAAGAATACACAACACTTTGATTTGAGGGCACTAGATCAACAACTTTTAGCGATAACATCTTATACCAATATAGAGTAGTTTCCTCCATCGCCACCATTGCATGATGAACCCGAGATTCCTCTGCAACACCTTGAAGAGAAAATTGCCTCTCAGCCCTTACAATCCAACAGTAAGAATTACCGACATCGCAGCTGCAGCCAATGTTGCGAGGATAGTTTTATCATCGGAACTTCATCCAATCGCAGTCAAATTTTCCATCCCTACAGTCCAAGCATTGATGGTTTGAGTCAGTGCTTCCAAGTGGCGTCACAAATCAACAGATTCCTCTCGCAGTCTAGTAAATTGCACCTCAATTTCAGTCCTCTCTAATTGTGACATCTTAGGATTTCTCTATCATGAAATATCTATATATATATATATATATATGTTAAATGGTTTTTATTGAAGAAGTCAAAGTCATTTTTATCAAATTAAGAAAAAAGTAATAATGATGGATTTGTTTTCAACTGTTTGTATTTTTTGTTTTGTTCTTTTTAAGTGAAATAATAGTTGAATGTAGTATTTAAAAAGAAAAATAAGTATTCGCAGTGGAAGAAGCTCATCCGCAGTCCTGCGAAAAATTCGCAGCCTTGTGGAAAAACGGACAGAAGAACGTAACGGTTGCGAAAAATAACGAAGGATGATGAAAAGCCATTTGGAAGTTACATGAGGGGGATTGAAGTCAGTAATTAAGCCGAAAATTACTTCCATTAAAGGTATATAATTGAAAGGGGAGTTATCATCATCAATACGTGAGGGAGTTACTTGAAGAAGTTGAAGGGAGTCCACTGTTAATGAAGATAATTGAATGGAGGAGTTACATGAAGAGGAATTTTACACTCAAAATGGAACTGTAAAAGGAGATGCTCGACGAGAGAGAAAGGATTCCCCACCAACACAATTCCCAACTTTTTATATTTTATTTTTCAATATTTTTTTCTTTACAGTGTTTTATTTTTATTTTTTGTAATTATCAGCTTTCTTTATCGCTTTCTTTAGTTCCCCTTGTATTTTTTCTTTTTAATTTAATGAAAATTCATTTTTAAGCCTTTTTCTTTCAATTCAAATGGGCGGATTTTCTGTCGATCTCAGATTCCGTATATACAAAACGATCACTAAGGGCTCTTTATACAGTACCTTAGGAAACCTTCTGACGAAACTCTGACCGGCTTTATCAAGCCGTCGAGAGGCTCGAATATACGGATTTCTGTATACAACAAAATTGCACGCCCAGTGGGACCACGATTACTTCTTGTCTCACTTTTCGTGAATACACTGTGGAATCGACAATTGCCACCTATCATGCCCCCAAAATTAGCACCGCCTGAAGTGGATGTCAGGATATCATACCTCATAACGCGGACCCCTTTCATTTGAACACTTCATCCCCTCGCGGAAGTGAGGGTCAGCATCCGGCCTTATCTATGTTTGCCAACCTTATCCGGGAGCAGACCCAGGATGAAGTGCAGTCATCTGTGCATGATTTAGCCCTACTGCTATCCAAATATTTAGCGGATGTAATTCAACCGACTATCCAGAAAGAAATGACTTGGTTGAAAGATGAGGAAGCAAGAAGTGCAGGGCACCGATGCAAGGGAGTCATATTGCGGACGCTACCCCATCAGACCAACCACACTAGGTAACTAATCCTTCTTCTCAATTTCAATATGGATATGTCTCTCCTTCCTAGTGGTGGAGCTAACGGCAGGCACTTTGGCAAGTCCATCTTCAAGAGGAGGTGGATTTTCCGCTGGCCTCGTCTATCAGCCCAGCCAACCCACTTGGGGAGAAGCATGGGCTGTTGAGCCAGCAACAAATTTCTACAAGTTTGGAAGAAACATAGCCTTATTGTTTCCACCAAGACGGTAAGGGAGTTGGAATCCTTGGAGTCAACCGTCTTACATTCCCCCGTTGTACCACGGAACCCCTTGGGGTTCATATGCTCAAAACCCGCCGGCTTATTCAGCGGTTGGGGGGCATGCAACGGTGGAAAGTGTGGTGACCACAATAGTTCCATATGCATAGCCACCACATGCTTCTGGGAGCATCAATCCAAATCTGCCCTAACAGATTCCTATGGAGAGGCCGATCCCTATCAATCGGTCTGTTGGAGCACCACCAGTAGCCGCTAAAGAAGCACCATGACTGAGACTACCCCCCAGAAGGCCGGTTCAGCAGAATCCGCCACTTCAAGTGAAAAATCCATCGCATCCAGCCAGTTGTGGATATCATCTTTTTGATGTTTCTCATCCATGGAAGGATTGCTCCACTATGGAAGTGGTTCAACTAGTTCCACTGGTGGCCATTCCTGAGGAGAAATGACTACGGCTGCCTATTAAGTGGCCGTTGCATCAAGTTCCACCATTTCCAATGCAAATTCCGGCAGCTCCAGTGAAAAATCCATCACTTCAAGTGAAACATCTGTCATATCGAGTAGGTGGATTACATGTGTTTGAAGATTTTCCACCTATGCATGAGGACTGCCCGGTTACAAATTTACTCAACATATTCCTCCAAATTAGGGACAGAAGGAGAACATACAAAAGAATCCGCTGGTAGATCCAAATGCTTTGGAGGAAACGATCAGGAGGTTATATGGAGATGATCCTCCAAGGATGCCTGCAAGGCCGCAGTATCAACAATCCTTTTCAGACCGGATCATAGATGATTATCCTATTCCCTGTAAAGCGGAAATACCGAAATTCACTCTATTTTCTGGAGAAGATTCCAAAATGGACATCGAGCACATAATCCAATTTGCGGCTAAATGTAGTGAAGAGCTCGGGATCAATGAGTGGTACAAATTGCAACTCTTTTCATTATCACTAACCGGACTAGCTTTAGTTGGTACACCTCGCTGTGTTTTAATTCATTGCAGAGTTGGACCCAGTTGGAGAGAGTATTTCATGGAAGTTTCCACAATCCACTGCCCGAGACGACTATCACAGACCTTCTTAGCTTGTGGAAAAGGCCGGATGAGCCCGTAGAAGATTTTTTGTAGTAATTTTGGAGGATAGAAAGGTGGTGCAACTTGAAAATTTGAGAGGTTCAAGTTGTGGATATCACCATTAATCAGATGCATGCTAAATTATGAGAGAAACTTATCTTCCAGGGGTATGGTGATCTAGAGACATTGGCTTCTGTAGTTATTAGAGCTCAAGAAAGCCTTTCGGAAGCCCAAGCAGCTGAGGGCAACAGAATTAATTGTAATGGTTTCCCCTCCCCCCAAAACTTCACATTTATTTGGAGTAACATGCCCTAAACTACAATGTCACAAATCCTAACACTTTGAACACTATTTTATTCTATATGACCGGAATTTTTTGACACAGCAAGAAGGTCATGCATGCTTGATAATAGTTCATCTCTATGATGCATCAAGTTGATGAAAGTATAGACTTCATCTTTGCATGGAAGAAAGTAATAACATCAACTAGAGCTGAGTAACGAATTAAATATACAATACATGAAATAAATACCAACAACAAGTGTTTGCTATGAAACAACTACAACTATAAAAAAATCCATGGCTCACTCAATTGATCAACCGATTTTCCAAGTAACCACTACGTCTAGCCAAATAACAGGCTCACACAATTATTAATTAACTTGCCAACATGGCTAAATCTAGCTAAATCCATTGTTATCACAATTTATCAATTGACTTTTCAATTAATGGTTAAGTCTAGTCAAATCAACAACTTACACAATTTACCAATCGACTTGCCAATCAACAGCTAAGTTTAACCAAATCCAGGGCTTGCATAATTTACCAATTGACTTGCCAATAAAAAACTAAATCTAGCAAAATGCATAGATTATAAAATTTACCAATCGACTTGCCAATCCACAGCTAATACAATTTACAATCGACTTGCTAGTCAACGGCTAAGTCAGACCATATCCATCGCTAATAGAATTTACAATCAACTTGTCAATCAACAGTTAACTCTATCCAATCCACGAATAATACAATTTATAATCAATTTTCCAATCAACAGCTTAGTCTTGCCAAATCTACGGCTAACACAATTTATCAATCGACTTGCCAATCAACGGCTAAGTCTAGCCAAATTGATGGCTAATACAATTTTCAATCAACTTGCCAATCAACGGCTCATTTTTTTCCAAATCTATATCTTACACAATTTATCAATCGACATGTCAATCAATGACTAAGTCTAGACAAATCCACGGCTAATATAATTTACAATTTATATATAATTATTTCTTTGCCAACAACATCAATAACCGAATAAACAATTTATCATAAACACTATATATCACATCAACTCCACTTAGGAATTAGTCTTATCATATCATAACAATTTCACGACATATCACGAAGACATAACCATAACTGTCCATTCATTTCAAGCGTACATAATTTAACCTCTTGCCTTAACCTTTGACTTTTATTGCCTAATGGAAACATGAGACAACCCCAAGCCGTCTGGAACCTCCGGATAATCTTAAACCACGAGGTTAAACCACAATAATAACACGAACATCAAACAACAACAATGCACAAAACTCAGTAACTTGGACAAGAAATCACACACATGGCTCCCAAATGATCCCAACCCAATCCAACAACTACAAAAATCATTCACAAGGCTTTAGAGTACCTTTTGAATAATTTTCAAGTCAAAAATCATTTGAACAAGGCTGAAAATCAGAGCACGGGTCAAACAATGTCGATTCTACAATTTTAAAATCTCAAAACTTGTATAATTAAGGTCCAATTGCAATAATATGTGAAACCATAATTTAGAAATTAATTTTGGTAAAATCGCACTTAAACTCAATTTCTTAAAATTGGCATCAAATTCAATCGATAAGCGGAAAAAGAGGTTCAAATACATCATTTACCAACCAAAACCAAGAAAAATTTGACATGAACTCAAAACATCCATTCCCAAACTGAAATTACACCATTGAAAGAGGAACAAGGCTTGAAAAAAGGAGATCCAAAAATATAAATTAGTTGAAAGGTTTACCGTAAAAACCGACTTGCAATGGAATGGAGTGATTTCCTAACTTCTCATGAACTTTATCCACTGTTGGAGGACGAAATTTGAGAGAAACTTGGGTTGGACGGGTTTTTAATTCGTCAAAATATACAAAACAATTTTTTTAAAATCGTTTGACCGTACGGTGACCGTACGACCTGGACAATAAGACATTGTTTGGGTTGTAACTCACTTGTACGACCTTCGATTAACCTCGCGTTTGAGGCAACGGATAGATAACTAAAATTACTATCTCTTTGTAAAATTCCAGATCAATTGGATCCATACACAATTTACGGTGAATTCTGGAAGTTAACAGTTGTGGTATAAACTCTTAACATATAACATTTTACTAAATTGAACATATCTCTTTTGTCAGATATTCAATCGACTCTCTGTCAATGGCATTGAAAAGATAATTTGAAGGACTATCTAATTAGATCAATTCACCCACAAAAACCAACAACACAAAAATTTGTATCCTATCAAATTGAACATATCGACCATGGTTAAAACAATTAAACTCATTAAACATCTAAGAGATGATTCCATTACGGGTCGAGTATTACACTCTAGAGCATAATAGACCTCTTCAAGTTAATCATTCACCAAGCCCAAGCCTAAGCCATGACCACATCTAAGACCTTTGAGCACTTGTGGCTTACTGGTATTACAAGCCTAAACCACATTATTAATAACAACTATACAACCTACATGGATTTTAACTCACCGAATACGCAGTTCTGAAGAATATGAATTTAATTTTTCTATTAATTGAATTAACTTTTCATGGATTATCCAACAGTCTCAGCCTCATACTAAGCCTTGCCACGACCCTGTTAGGATTAGAGTTAGGGTTTTGGTGGTGTTAGTGGTGGTGGTGGGTGTTTCATAGATAGAGAGGATAATTTTTTCGATAAGATTTCCAATTAGTGTTAGAGGAAGATGAAACCCTTATATTTATAGAAAAAGGGCTTATGGGGAGGCATTCATCCTCCATGTCCCTTGGAGTTGAGTATATTTTGAATAGATTGATTAGATTACTAATAGCAAACAATGCTTACATGATTTTCGGAAGTTCATTTGAAAGAACTGTAAAGTTAAGAGTGGTTACTTCGGGGTAATTTTATGATGGGTGTCTATTGGAAAGTCTCTTAAGGTGCATGTGAGTTAGTACAAAGCACCTTGAATAGACTTGTGTTTTGTAGAGTTATTCTACGATTATATCATCGTTACATCTTTTTATTCAAACCTACGTATATGTGAGATTATTATATGAATTCGACTTTTTGTAATTAAGATTATTAATTATAAAACAAACAAAATTATTTTAAAATATGAAAATTAGTTGGAAATTAAAGACTAACAATGCCTTACTCTTTCTTAATAGTTGTTAAAAAAGTGGTTGGGATTTGATTTAATTTCGACGGTGACAATTGAGTCACTGTAATTAAGATTATTATTTTTAAAACAAAAAAAAATAGTTTTAAAATTTGAAAATCGCTTAGCAATAAAAGACTAACGGTCACTTACTAATTTGAGGTCAATTAATAAGAGATAATAACAACATCTACAATAAAGGCACTATAATTAATTCCTCAACCACTTTTTTATTACCTTTAGGAGAGAGTAGGTGGACGTTAGACTTTAATTGCTTACTATTGTTCAATATTTCAAAATAATTATGTTTACCTTAAAATCAATAATCTTAATTACAATAACTGAGCTGTCCGCGTTGAAATTAATTCAAAGTGATAAAACCTTAATTAATAATTTCACACCTACATAGTAACAAAAATACGAAGCAACCAGGAGGGCTAATGACTCCCCATTGCTCGTTTTTCTATATATACAAGGATTTCATCTTGCGCTAATACGACTTATAAGCTCTATCTGGAGAAACTATCCCTACTCCTACCCCACCCTACCTATGGACCATCCACCACCATCAACCACCACCATAACCAACACCCGTAAACTTTAACTCTAAACCTACAAGGTCGACAGAAAGAGAGATTGTGCTGAACACAATTATGGGTGCAGATACTACTAGAAGATGGTCAACAAAATGCAGACCTTTGGCGGGCACCAAACTATCCACAGGCATGAAAAAGGCTATGGAAAAGAATGTCCATGACCTTCAGGAAGCCTTGGAGGCTATCAAAATGCCTACAAGTATTAAAGGGCTATGGAGAAGGATGTCGGGGACCTTCAGAAAGCCTTGGAGGGTACCAAAATACCCACAAACAAGAAAGGGCTATGGAGAAGAATGTCCAGGAACTTTAAGAAGCCTTGAAGGGTACCAAAATGCCCACAAGCACGAAAGGGCTATGGAGAAAAATGTCCAAGACTTTCAGGAAGCCTTGAAGGGTACCAAAATGCCCACAAACACCAAAGGGCTATTGAGAATAATGTCCAGGACCTTCAGAAAGCTTTGGAGGGTACCAAAATGCCCACAAGCACGGAAGGACTGTGGAGAAGAATTTATGGGACCTTCAAGAAGCCTTGGAGGGTACCAAAATACCCACAAACACAAAAGGGCTATGGAGAAGAATGCCCAAGTCCTTCAGAAAGCCTTGGAGGGTACCAAAATGCCCACAAGCATGAAAGGGCTATGGAGAAGAACGGCCAGAATCTTTCGGAAGCCTTGGAGGGTACCAAAATGCCCACAAACATGAAAGGGCTATGGAGAAAAATTTCCGAAATTTCAGGAAGTCTTGGAGGGTACCAAAATACCCACAAGCATGAAAGAGCTATGGAAAAGAATGTCTGGGACATTTAGGAAGCCTTGAAGGGTAACAAAATGCCCACAAACATGAAAGGGCTAAGGAGAAGAATATCCGCAACCTTTAAGAAGTCTTGGAGGGTACCAACTTGGGGTGTGTTTGTTTTGTGTTTTGGTTTGAAAGAATATTTTTTATGTGAGATATAGAAAATTGTGTAGGTAATATAAAAATAATATGTGTGTGTAGTATAATAATTTTTTGGAAAAAAATTGTTGGTAATTCTTTGTAAAAGAACAAAGCTCATCACTTAGTAAGCCACCTAGTTCACTCAGATATGCCTCACGCACATCTATTCGCCACCTTAATACTATTGCATGCATTTTTACCAATTAGACTTCATTTTATATTACTTTGTTATAATTATAGTTAAATCTTGCTAATTCAATTATGCTTTATTCACGTTTCAACAACATAGATTCACTGTAAGTATTACCTTGAATTATCTCACAACTTAAAATTCCCGAAATCTATATTATATATTTTAGAAATAGTATAATCTATATTTGATGCAACCAGGGTAACTACAACATTGACTTCAT